ATACGACCGAACGAGGAGATTAACTCGTCGTCGCTTCTGAATGAAGCTGTCCTGGAGGACATCATGAGGTTGCTAAACGCACGAAGTGGATCGTCGATCCTAAAGGATCCCTCGGATCCGTAATGTCCTTTGGTAATGGAATTCAAGACGTCGTCTCCAAGGACCAGCCGTCGGTCCTACCTCGGACCGAGGTGTGCGTCATGAGATCAGCCTGGTTCCGGGAGCCAAATACTGCGTAATACGTCGATGACTCCTGCCCAAGGAGCAGTGTGACGCATTGACGCCTTTCCCCGTGCGAAGCACGTCGCAGAATGGTGCGTGAGAGCAAGTCTCCCCATTCGACTTCCAAGTTTTGTGTCCGGAAGCCGAACGACAAGTGACGTATTGATCACACTTACATTAAGCTAAACGCTGTCACCATTCCGGTACAGACGCCAATTTGTAGAAAGGATGTTCTCCAGAACAATATGGTTGGCTGTACGAAGTACAGCGCACTCGACTTGGTGATGGTTATTACCGATTGCTCATGAGAGCGAGTGATATTCCGCTGACAGTGGTGAGTGCTCCGAGCAGAATGCTCTGGGAGTGGCTGGTAATGCTCCAAAGGCTGACAAATGTACCAGCAGCATTTTTTTTGTCTTGTGACGCAGTTGTTCAGGCCCCATCGGGCGTATGCACATACATCCTTCGACAAAATCTCTTTATTAAGGTGCTTCTTTTGAAAGCGTGGCCTTCGAGCGAATCGCGCTAAGGTCAAGGCCATTGTGGACTGGCCGGTTCCGAAGGACTAAAAGGACTTGCGCTAGTGGCTCGGCCTCGACAACTAATTGCACAAGTATAGCGCGAATTATGCGGAATGGAGTTGGGACACCGAGCATCGGGAGCTTTTGAAAGGAACAAAGACAGCATCCTCTATGAATTGATACTGGCGTTGCCAAATCCGATCGTCCTTTTAGAGTCGTCTATGACGCTTCGGACTTTGCCATCCGCTGTGAACTGCTGCAAGCGGCAAGATCGGGTGATCGCGTTCAAATCTCGCCAGCTTAAAGCTACGAGAGGAGCTACCCAGTCCACGACAAGGAATTACTTGCGATATAGTATGCACTTGTCAAGTTCAGAGTGCTCCTGCCTAGCTCAAAGCCGTTTGCGATCTACACAGATCATGCATCATTACGCGCTACGACTCAGTCGCCTCACCTCTCGCAGAGGATAGTCAGGTGGCTCACCTTTTTTGCAGAATATAACTTTAAGTTGAAATATAAACCAGGAAGTCAGAATGCTTTGGCTGATGCGCTGTCGCGGATGACCACTCGCTCTCATGAGCAATTGATAATGCAGACCAGATTATGAGCTTGCTCATGCCACGACGGTGACGTCGTCAGTGACAGATTTGATCCGCGCCGCATACGCATGGTATGTGTGTGGCGCTGCTACAGGCTCCAAGAAATTGTCATTAATATTCGTTGAATACGGGCTGTTGTATTATAGCACCGATTAGACGGACACGCCACGAAGTGTGGCTCCTTACGATGAGGATTTGAAATACTTTATTTTCTGAGAGGTCATCTCGGTCGTGAGAAGACGTACATCTCGGTGAGCTGCCACTATTGGTGGCCCAAGCTGTACAAGTGGACGAACACATATGTGCGCGTGCGTGAGACTTGTCAGAGGGTGAATACTTTCTAATACAGCAGCGCTGTTGACCAGTTTACCGGTGTCCTCCGAATGTTGGCAGTCAATGAGTATGAAATTTGCTTTTGGCCTGCCAAAAGACTCAGCGGGCAACACGGGTGAGGTGGTCTTTGTGGACCGTTTAAGCAAGATGGCTCATCTTGCGGATATACCGGACACCATTGACGGGTGGGTACAGCAGCGCTTTTTGTGGACCCTGTCTTTCGACAATATGGACTCCCGGAGTCAATTGTTTCCGATAGAGACCCACTTCACTGGGAAGTTTGGTCGATAGTGTTCACGGTGCTGGGCACCAAATTAACTATGTCAACAGCAAAGCATCTGTAGACCGATGTTCAAACTGAGCGCGTGAAACCCGTCGTTGAAGACGTTCTTCGCAGCGTCTGCGCTGAGGCACCGAAGCGCTGGAGCGCCCTGCTGTCACTTGCAGAGTTTGCTCTGAACAATGTAGTGCATGCGTCTACCGGCTACGGGCATGCTCATCCTCGATTCCCGCTGAATCCGCCATCCTTTTTGGGTGGGGGAGGAATAGCTGAACGGCTAGCTGATGTCAGCCTCCTTACTGTCCATGAAGAAGTCGATGACTTCCTGTCTGCCGGACTAAGTGTCCCACGACACGCTCGCGATGCGATGGCTGAAAGAGAAACATGCATAAAGAATATGCAGACGGAAAAAGCAGAAGAAAAGCTGAGGGCGTTGAAATCGGTTTTATTAGATGCTAAAACCTTCCTACACATGCAGTCTCTGCTGTCTTTGAGACAAAGCTCCGTCCACGATTTATTGAACCTTTTAATGTCGTGGCAAAACGAAGCCTTGCGTATACGCTAAACCTTCCGAGGAGGGTGCGCACCTACCCGTTGGTTTATATGGGCTTGATTTAGCCGTTCCGGAATCCGACGCAGGCAAACGCGGAAGCATTGGCACCAGAGCGGCGCCCAATGGCGCTCGGTCACCTAGAAGTTAAGCTAGCAGCTAGTACGAGCACGAATTGCAACAATTTCCGTTTCCAACGGCGCAGGGCGCTCCACCGTCAAACAAAGTGACGTATTTGATTGCTCGACGGCTAGGAGCCGCTCCGACAGAGCGCGATAGTCCTCAACGTGAGGCAGTCGGTGCACAAAGTGTTCCAAGCTCTCAAGGTATTCCACACAGCGTTATGCGGCCTCGGAAAGATGCTCGGCGGAGTGCCGATGACGACGGACTTTCTCCTTCAAAGCTCGAAAATCATCGCGAGTCACCGGACGGCGATCGACCAAGTCGTCATCGCCCGCCGCCGACTTTTTTTGCAGAGAATGGCGGCGTCCACTACCTCGTGGAACGCCTTGAAGGTCAACGTCGTCGACAGAGTCGGACTCAATATCTTGTGAAGCGGCGGGGATATCCAAACTCCGAGAACTACGTGGGAATTTGAGGTGCCACTTCGGCAAGACTGCCCAGACGTTGTGGACGCTTATAATCAGAAGGATGATGACGCTTTGCACTTCTTGGCAGTAGCTCGGGAAGCCGAAGGGCCGGGAGCTGAGCTCAAGTAATGGCCCTGAGCTGCTGTGGTCGTAGATTCACCCGTGTGAATGACCACAGAGCTCGCAGGAGCGTGATGGATGATTCAATGTGTCGCATGGCGACAATACGCAGGAAGTCGGCGTTGCGCCTTGAATTTGGCCGACTCTAAAATAAGATGGCGCTCTTCGCGAACGTCCACTTTCTTGTGGCTCCGCTATAAGGTAGACAGCGAGGAATGTTTCCGGTGCCGCTGCACCCATCGCTCAAAGGGCGCCTCATCATCCGCAGCCCTTTCGCCAGAGGCGAGAAACACATGAATATTCCGCAGTGCGGGTACAGGAGCGCCTCCTTTTTGAGCTCGAAGTCGAGCGCGGTAACGATCCCTTGTGGTACCAAAAAGCGAGCTCGGAGAGATTTTCGCTTATCAAGCTCAGCTTGTGTATTGGCCGGTGACCCGACTACGTAGACGTCTAACGGTCGAGTGATCGCGTCTTTTGCTATCGTAGCGATATTCGCCGAGCAGAAGCCGTATTCCACACGAGGGTCTAGGACCGAACGTGGATACGAACGCATGAGAGCCGTCCTGTAAGCAGCCTCCAACTGCTGCTCCTGTGTCTCATCGAGGCGATTGGTAATAATACTACTCCCCCCGGAAGTCGGGAGGTCTGGGAACGGACACGGTGTCCACAAGGCTCGAGCAGAGCTCACGGCACACCTCGCTCTCCTCATCTTCCCATGCTAGGAAAGGAGTACCCGACTCGTAGTCAACTTCCTCCGAATCCTCGACGAGGAAATATGTCGCCCGGTAGCCGAGGGCTTGGGATGTGCTCCCCGTAAAGGTACTGTCCGGAGATGCTTCGCGTGGAGAAGACGAAGAAGGTCTCTGCCCACGGGTGCCCTCGTAAACAGCGAGACTAGGTGTCTTTCGTGTCATAGACACGGGGCTCATTGAGCAGAGAATGTATAAAGATGGTCCTTGGGACGTAACGGTGTCTCAGACACGCGAGCCTCGTATGAGGCGACAGTCAAATGCAAAGTATTAAAGCTTGGGGGAATGGTTTTACTCTGGGTACGTGTAACCTAGATTTATTTACTTAAGTACCCATAATGAGACACATAAGTGTAATGTAAATTTCATCTAATTATCCAATATTGTCTGAAAGTGTAAGGCAACTTTTATCCATTCATACAGTACACACTATAGAAAGCGTTTCTAAAGTAAAAATCATATTTGTTTACAAAGCCAAAAAAGACAACCGAACATACAGAAAGAGTCAAGACTGTAACATTTAATTTCTATCATCTCATGGCTGACGCAGATCAGAAGCGCGAACGACTGCATTCAACAGTCCGATTGAATCACTTTACACTGCAGTTCGAAGATCCAGCACTAGAGAAAGTCTATCAAGCTGAATTATATCCCCGGAAGAAAGCACTTTGGTTGCGTTCGCTGCTCCCAGCTGCAGCCTCTCAACTTCTATTCGCCCTAGCCGATGGCCTTGATTTTTCAATTGAAAACCTCTTAATATCTATTCCAACACGCATTTTCATAGCAGTAAGTAACCTGCATATCAAAAGTATTAAATTTAACATTTTCAATCCTTTAGATGTTTCAAGTGGCAATGTATATCCTTGTCCGATGGGATCTCGTCCGTGCTCAAGAACAAACAATCGTGTTGGTATCTGGAATCAGCGGAATCGTCACTCTCCTACTTTATACTCTCCAACGTTCAAGTCTTTGTCATTGGGTAATCTTTGTCACTGAAACTTAATCTCACGAATCCTCTAATATTTCATCTTTTGTCCTAGGATGCTCTTTTTGTAACCTTTGGACTCTCGTTCTATACCATCCCCAAGATTACACCTCTTGGTTACGTCTCGTCATTCTATGGAAGTTGGAGCACTACCTTCTTCTATTCAATTCTTGCTTTTACCATTCAATCACCATTGAAACGAGCTCCAGTAATCCTCAGTATGTGCTTTCTAGTGCCAATGGTTTGGATCTTTAATACCATTGCCTACTCTTCCGAATATCATGCTCGAGAACGTTTTGCTTTACGACGTCGATTAAGACGCGAACGAATTACAGTCGCAGTTGCATGTGATGATAGAGTACATCAAAAGGAAGAGAATGGATGGGTTGTTTTCAACTTACTATCATTACATGGGTTACTAGCTGCAAATCGAAAGGGTACAACTTCATTTCTTCTTGCAGTGATACTTTGGGGAATGATGACATTAGGAGGATGGACATCATTACCAAAAGGTTTGAAATTTGTTGATGAAGCCACAGGATGGGCGTGGTTTAGTCATTGTGCAGGAGGGACAGTATTTCTTGTATTACGAACGAGAAGGTTACGTTGGGTTGTGATTGTACCCGTTTTGGGAGCTTTTGTCTTATATCTATTGACTCTTACTATTCCTGCTTCGTGGATTATCATCTCAGCTCATAGTGTTGGATATGGTTTACTTTTGGCTTCAATTATCTTAACAATGGGTGTCTTTGGATGGTTTCTATGTGCTTGGCGACAACTTGTGAGTTTCTTAACCCGATCGTGTTTTTTATTTCCTCAATTACAAGCAGGAATGGAACAAGAATATCCACTTCTTGTAAGGATTGTATCTGAATATACTGCAGGATTTGATCCTGAGATTCTAGCAGCTCGTGTACCAATAACAACAGTAAGTAAAACACTTGGGACTCAATGTACGGATAGAATTGAAGATGGAAATGTCAAAATGCTTGCGACTTTTCAAGATACCAATTCAATGGTTCAGAAGAAAGATGAGATGAAGTTGAGTTCGAATGATTGTACGATCAAAAGTTCACATTCTATGATCACAAAGCATAAAGAATCAACTTTTGCTACAAGATCTACAATCATGTCGGTCTTACCATCATTTACACCTGGTAAATGTTTCTTTTGTTCACAAAATGAAGCGGAACATTTGGTACCTGCTTGTGGAATGTGGGGCAAGTGGACACATTGGCGAATGAATCAACACTTTCCTTCATCTCTTGATTCTAAAACTTCGAAAATCTCGTCAAACGTAGCCATGTGTACTTCATACTATGATCTTCAAAAGACAAAACAAGAGTTAGAAGTTCAAATTGAAGATGAAGAGAAGAAAGTGAAGAGTCTTTTGAAACAAAATCAAGATTTAAAAGAACAAGTCAAGAAGGGAGAGATGGAAAAACTACAACTCATGACAAAAGTTTATGCTATGGAAGAGAAACATTCACATGAAATTCAACAAAAGGAGATGCAATGGAATCGAAAACTTGCACTTATGCAGCAAGAATTCAATCAAACTCTTCAACATCATAAACTTGAAATTGAAACAACTACAAAAACCTTTTCAAATGCTTTGAAAACCAATGAATTACAAGTTGAAACGCTAGTTACTCGCCTTCAAAGTGCTGAAACTGATGTTCAAAGTCTTCGTTTGAAGTTAGAGACGAGTGAAAAGAATGTTTTCAAATGGAAAACTCAAGCAACAGCATCTCTTGACAAGAAACTTCATTCAACGCACGTCTTGTGTTCTCCCTCCAAGCTTCAAACGTTTCCTTCTTCAAGACGTTTACCATATGCTCAATCGTTAGAAATTGAAGGATTACGAGAATCAAGTCGAAAGTCCAAAGATGAAGTGGATTATTCAAAACAATGGCAACGATTTCAAGCTGAAACATTAGAATAAATCTAATGCTGGTGGTGACACACTACCATTGATGATGAAATCTTGATAATATTGTCTTAACACGTTTGTATACTTTCGTAGTGAATGAGCTGCATAGATTTGACATGACTCAGGATACTTGACAGATGCTGCAAGATGACGTAAATTATCTAAAATCGCTACTTCTTCACTTGGTAAATATCGTAGATAATATGGTAATTTTCGTTCTAAAGCTTCGTCAAGTTCTTCAAGTTCAATCCAAGGTTTTCCACCTGGTAATCCTTCATTCAATCCATCGGTTTGATCATCAAGTGTCTTGCGATTTAATGTACGAAATGCATGTGCACGATTTTGAGCTGCAATGGATTCCAATTGAAACTTTCGAGTTCTTGAATGAGCTTCACGACGTTCATGATGGAGAATAACAGCAAAACATGCATCAAATGCACGCCAAAGAGCTTGTTCTGTATTCAATTCATGAACGTCTGTTGCTGTTATATTCATATATAAAGTTGATGGTTCAAGTACATTCTTACCAAGTAAGAAATGATCAATTGGTGATTCCAAAACAATTCGATTTGCTCGTACACATCGATAAACAAGTAAATGATGATATTTCGTACGTACATCCTCATTCCAATGAAGAAACAGAGTCATATGACGTTGAACAAGAGCTTTGAGAATATTTTGTCGTACTAAGCCATCAAAATAATCCATTTGATGGTATAAAAAAAGTAAAGTACGTCCAAGAATTTCATGATGATCACTTGAAAGCATGACACGAATTCCTGCTGCAAATGTGATGCCTTGAAACGTTGGAGGTAAACGATAAACAATTTGATGTTTTGCTTGAGATGGAGAACAATCAAGTAACATGGCACTCGCACAAAACCATTCTTCAAATCGTGTTAAACACACATCGACACTTCGTGCATGCAAGACATTTGTACATTCATACATTGCAAGGATACAAATGTCAAGAAGATCAGGATTTCGTAAGAGTTGAATGACATTATCTAAAACGGTACGAATGGCACGAATCGATGCAAGTTCAAATGGAATTGCTGTTTCTTGACTTGGAAGTTCAAGTTCTATAGATGATGAAGGAAGAGGACCACAAGTATCACGTACGTACAAATACTTTGCCCAACATGCTTCTTTGAGTACTAATAGCGACACACGAAGTAAGAGCGTGTAGCCAGGTAAACAAGTCCATAAAATCTTGGAATCAAGTGCTGTATGAGCTATATGAAGACATAGAAATCCCATAAATTTCGAAAAAAATTCACCATCGTGAGTAAGTTTGAATAGCCAGGATGGAATTCCATGTTGAGTTGAGAAAATATTTGAGTCTGGACATTCTTTTAAATAGGGTGCATATCGAGTCCATTGAAATAACGTTGGATTGGAATGAATGAACGTATCTTCATCTTGAGTTTGTTCATTTGTACGTTGATTCTCGACATTTTTCATAAGGATTTCAAACCAACGTTCTAAAGACTTGACAAATGTCTGTGTACAGATTGATCGTCCACTTTGTGTAACACTTTCATTCTCTGCAAGCCATTGTTTGTCATGATATGCTTTTGAAATTTCTTCTAACATGGCAGATTGAAGAACTGGCACTCGAAAGAAACATACAGCAAAGACACGTGCGAAGAATCGTGTTTCAGCTAATGAAATGTACGATCGACGTTTTTGTCGTACAATGTCAAGCGTAGTGGCTGCGTATTGAAATGTAGCAATGAGCAAGAATCGATACATGTCGAAATCACGTTCACGTTCTATTGTCTCATCAAAAGATTCCATGCTTTTGTAATTCATTTTAATGTTTTCATTGTCACGTTTTGGACCATTGAATGAAAAGGATTTTGGTCCATTCGCTTTCGGAGTTTTATTGATTGAAACATCGTTCGAAAGTAAGTGAAATTCCACACGTTCAACGATCATTCCAATCAATTGAAAGTATAGATTTCGTAAGTCAATTGAAATAGTTGAATCGTTTGAATGAAGTTGTACGATCATGTATTTCCAAACAAGTAAAAGTGTACGACGACATTGTCGAAAGACTTTTCGAGATGAAGCATTCGCAGCATAAAATTCTTGAATTCGTTGTTGATTCTCGCGACCAGCCATTTGTTGTAGTAATTTGAAAAGAGCTTGAAATGTTTCAATCGAATTCTCAACATTAGCTTTCGTACACTCAGCAACGAGTTGAGGAATTTTTAAAAGTAATCGTTCCCACTCATGATCACTCGTTTTAATCTTTGAATCAGTAGTAGAAAATGTCGAAGTCAAAGACGTAGCGCTTGAAAGTGTTCCGGATGTCTCTAAACGTGCTTCAAGCTCTGCTGTACTCAACGTAGTTGATGTCGATGCATGGAATAAAAACGTCGACGATGTGTTAATATCTTCGTGATTGATCTCTCGAGTCGAGTGTTTACTCTGAAATGACTTAAGAAAGCGCTTGAATCTGTGCACCATAGCGCCAAGGTCTTTAAAGTTTAAGTGACTTGAGAATAACCCACTCGTTGCTATCTATTATCTCGTCAATCGTACCGTTTTGTCAAACGGGAGTCCAAACTTTCTAGATCGCGTGACAATCGATTGTGCCTGTCCTTTGGCAAGAGACGGAGAAGAGAGAAGAGTCTATTTTCGAATCTATCGTTAATGTAAACAGACAAGATATTATGTACGTACAATCAAAACTCTGTCAATATATTCAAGTTAAACAACCATGGATGCAGTAATTTCCTGATCTTTCGCTTCCGTTGATGGTCTTGTAGTAAACGACGCCAAGACATTCCCGTCAGCTTTAGCACGTTGTAAATGAAGTGTATTCATACGTACAAACGTCACTTTCTCCCGTGTTTCTCGATCTTTTGGTGCATCTAAAGCATGTAACAAAGCTCCTTCTCGTGCACAAGAAACAGGCATGACAAAGATTCGACATGCTAGAGCTTGTAACGTTGGCCATTTCGATCCTTCAAGAATCCAAAAATCCAATGGTGTGATCTCTTTTCGTTTTGGATTCTTCATACTTTGACAAAATGCAGTATATTCCGCACAAAGTGTTTCATCTTCCTGATCTTTTGTTCCAAATGTCAAAAGTTCATGTTCGACTTGGACTTTTTCTTCAGTTGAAAAGTTTTGACCAAGATATCGAGGATCTAAAAGATACGCAATGCGATGAGCTGAACCAAGTACTAAAGTCTCTTGTTCTCGTATCAATGTGACAATTGAGATCTTTTCAAGTGATGTCAAGACTTGATTTGCTTCAATTGTTGAAATTAATGTTTGAAATGACAGGAAAACTTCGGAAATTGCGATTGAAGATTTTGTTCCAGGTGTAAAAGTTGTTAAAAGTGCGTGAAATGGTTGAAATATTGCCAAATATTTGTCGAGTTTTTCAACAAACGATGGATGATGAACAAGTTGAAAAACTTGTTTTTGTTTCGAAGGAGAACAAGTGAAATTTTCAATTGAAAGCGTTTGAAAAATTTCAGCTTGAAGAAGTGAAAGATACGCTTGTGTTAATGAGATTCGACGTCGGATTGTAATGTGGACCACTTCACATGGATAAATTTCCAATTCGTTAGAAATGACTTTTAATTTCTCGTGGGGTACAAAATCAAGCAAATCGTAACATTGTAATGCAAATTGTTGCAATTCTTCCAGAAAGGGTACACTTGTGGTACGTGATCCAATAAAAAAAGTTTGTAGTAATGAATAGAATGCATACCGCATACATCCATGGAAATACATGGTAGGAAATTGAAGTTGAAATTGCTTGAGTAATGTTTTTCTTTCCATAGTTAACGGCATAATACAACCAGCAATTGGACAGGAAATGGATTCAATAAGTTGTACCACATGATGAACAAAAAGTGCCATATTTGTACCAGCATTTGGTACATGAGCAAAATCGACGTATAAGGGGTACATTGGAGAACTAGCTAATGTTGCCATACAAATTAAACGTTCTTTCTCTTCATGAAACTCAAGCGATAACGTTGCAGGTACTAATCCACTTTGAAGAAAGTGAAGCACTTGATTCTTCACACGTTCATAACATTGATCAAGTAATTCCGTCATTAATGTCTCTTTGGTACAAAGTGCCACTTCCGTACCATTCACTTGAAAAGCTTGTGACAAATAAGACAACTCAAGAGTACCATTTAGCAATTTATCCACTTCTATGGTCGTAAATAAGTGCATTGCGATGTTTTCATTCACTTTAACCCAATCATACTTTGTCCCACATTTTTGTGTATCGGATAGTGGCATTGCCACAGGATGAATCATTTTAAATGAGGTGCCACTTGCCACTGTTGATGGTACCATTTGATTCAAAGTGTAACCTGAAGTAACTCGAGATGGTACATAATTTGACTGTCGTCGATTTAATTCAGCCAAATACCATGGTGGTACATCACTTGGAGATAATGTTTCAATAAGCCGCAAAAATGGAGCACATTTCATTAAATGAGCACGCGCTTGTGCCCATTTCTTATGATATTGCACTAATTGATTGCAATGACGGCACTCGGCAGAAAAAAGTTTCTGAGGCTCCACCAATGACGTAAAATATGCCCAGGACCGTGATGGAGGACGACCGCGTGGACGCCGAGAGACGTCAATGAGCGGCTGAGTGGCGTCCATTGGATAGAGCGTTTATCTTTTTCTGCCGAGTAGTTTACCGGTATTGTGGCAAGTTTGAGACGGTAGCGTCCCTTTGTTTTAGAATAACTCGAAATATAACATTTTCAAAATACGAGTGACGGATCTTTCCCGCCATTTAGCCTTGAGCGTAGGGTGACCTTTAGGAGCCAGCTTCAGTAAACGAAGCTTGCGACTAGAACGTGAGGTAATGCTTGACTCTGATAGAATGAAGGACGAAGCTGATACGGTAGCATTCCAGTTCCGGGCAAACCCCCTATTCGATAGAAATACGAGCTGTTTGTATAGTTGACACAAATAGTAGCGATACCTTCACACTTTCTTTTGCTTCATCTCTCGTATGTAATTGTAAATCTCTTCCACGAAATTTTGGTTACCAAGTGATACTTGCAACGTATGTCTTGCCTTAGTCGTTAGACACCTAGTAAGTCGGTCAACACTTGCGATCAGTACAAATAAATTGAGAATATCGTGATCAAAGTGAATGAGTAACAAGCATGCACGCTTCATATTCTACAATGACCGCTGCATATATTATCATCTGCTTCAATTCTTGTATTATCACAATAAATTAGCTATTGATTACGAATCTTTCTCTTCCTATCTTTCATGCACTGATTTGTCTAAAGTGTTCAAATATCTTCATTCACATACATTTATATTATTAGCAATCACCAACTCGAATGTGATGCACTGGATGCTCGCTGTCAAGTGAGCGAATTTTGGCAAGTAAACTACTAATGTGATGTAAGGAAAGAAGTTTGGGAAAACTAAAGATAGTAAGGAACACGGTTGAAATGAATATGAAGATAATTCGATTATTCAAGGTTTTGTTTTAGCGAGGCGACTCGCAAGAATAAAATCCTCGGTTTTCTTGGTAGCCTTTTCAAGGGATTTGCCTTGTTGAATCAATTTCCGATACATCTGCATTGCTTGGAGATCCTCCCGAGATAAATTGTCAGAAAGAGATTGTAGTCTTGCAAGAAATGAAATCGATTTTGTTGCCGGGGTCTTGACGCGTTTGACTCGGAAACTTCTTTGTTCATCGCTTTCATCGACGCTTGAAGTGGTGCGCAACATTTTTTCAGGATTGGCACTGGTCTTCGCTATGTTTGAGGCTTCCTCTACGTGAGATGGAAGTCCGTTGCCATTAGCAAAAAGTGATGCTACGATCAAAATGGTGACTAGACGTATTTTTATCATCGTGGAGCTGATTCTCGATATATGAAATGCTGCCAACAACAAAAATTGAAGAATGATGTGGGATTATACCACGGGATCACAAATACCATTCCAGTTTTATACACGTGTTATTGTGCAATGCATATGTCGATCATCTATACAGATATGAATGTGAATAGTAGATAAGTGAGTTTGTAATGCTCTTCATTAGAAGCAGATGAATTGAAGAGGGATTTGAAGTTTCGGGGAAACATAAAAGTCACTCCTTTGAATTCAGGATACAAAGTCATATCTTGCAATGCTGTATCCATTGTCGCGAGTGTTTCTGTGCAAGATTAAAGTATGCGTACATCTTAATGATCGAAGAATTTTGGACTTTATGAATTGACGTGTATGACTCTGGTGTTAGCTTGTTTTGATCCACGTATATTTGACTGCCCTAACTATTGATCGTTAGCAGATCCGTAATCTCAAAGAAACAAGACATGAGACAGCTTTTTTGTTTGACAACCAAAAGTGTTTCTAGATCTATCACATCGAGTGGCCAGAACCCCACAATTGTGAGCGATCAGGTGTGACAGCGATTGAAATTGAAGTAGATAGAGTTTGAAGTGTTATACGTCAGAATCAGATGCACCCATGAAAGGTGAATACATAGCAATTACTCCTTGGAAGTTTGATACCTTACAGTTCCAAGACAGGTGTATCTCAATTTTAATGTCGCTGGCAAATTTAATCTCAGCAAGGGTTTCAAGCGTAAAGCGTCCCATCATCCGATGAACATCCACCAATGTGTCACTTTTTCTAGATATTTGCTACATGTGTTTCAGACATCTGCTACATGTGTTTCTGTAGAAGGATAAAGCTCATGTAGTGATGATCGAAGTATGTATGAAGTGACGTGAAAAAACTTGATGACTTCGGTAATCATATAGAAACTATGCTTCTATATAAAGACTACATAGTCTTGCCTTTTAAGTGATATGTCGATGTTATGTCACTGGCATGGAAAGCAAAGTGAGTCAGTGTACATGAAAGCAGATGAGAGGAAGAGAAGCTTCTTAGTCATGATGATTAAGTATACGAACGTAGTAGATTTGCAGGTAGATATGCAGATAATGACGAAAAGGTCGACGAACACAAATGTAGATTGTCTCATCTTAAATTTTCACGGAATCGTCATTATCTAGCCATCACACAATCTTCCTCACTGACGTATCAAAGCATCATCGACTCATACTGTCGTATTTCTGCTATCAGCAATAACAACTCAATTGCGTCACTATTCTATATCAAATTCTTCCGCTGTCATTTCGTCGCTGTCTTTCATGAACATAAATTGTAGTTTCTCGCGCATTTAACGAGATTAATGCGGGCGTCGTTCTCTTATATTGTGCTTGAGCTATAAGCAGACTGTGGTCATCAAAGCATTGATCATTGTAAGATCGTTATTAAAAAAAATATTGTTAGAGTGAATCCCAACACCCGAGTTTTCTAAGTGAATTCAGCCACTAATCTTGTTGAGATTGCCCCGCTGAATGGTCCGATACGGCGGTTGTGTGACCGCGGTTTCATACGACGGTTGAGGCACGTCTGTTACGACGAATAATTACGGAAGTTATCACGGATATGACAAGAGTCTTCCATTGTTTTAGATAATTGCAGAAGCTTCTAGTAGGATCAGGCTTAGAGGTAGCAAAGCGAACTAAGGGCTCGCTTAGATATTTACCTTCTATTCAACAGGTAAGCAGCCACAACCAAGCCTTCTTTCAATCTACGTCTATCTCGCGCAAAATTGATGCCGAAGTCTTCCAGTGAAGTTGGGCCCTCCGTGATTTCTACAATCGCTCGGCGTTTCACGGTGACGCGTGAACGATCTCAAGATGGAAAGTGGTACAAGCATGGCAGAACATCTGCACTCTTTTGTCGAGCTGGTAGTGGGACTCTAGACTATGGGGGGGCGGTAGATGAGTCACGCCAGTTGGTAGAACTTCTGAGTAGTCTGCCGTCGGAGTGAAATAATTTCGTCGATTGTGGAGAATGCGAAGGACATAACACTGATCGAGGTCAAGGAAAAGCTGCCCAAGGAATCAAAGAAACTACCAAGGAAAGAAGCTCTTCCGCGTAAATGGAAGCGCTTGACGATTCAAAGGTGGAAGGGGCAATGGACGAAAAAATGGTTTCCCAAGGGTTAAATGGCAAGTGATTCAACTTTTTCAAATTTGGACACTGCCCAGCCGGGAAGCAATTCGACAGCTACGACGCGGTGTTTGCTGTTGGTGAAGGAAGATCAGCAGGATGGTTGATCGACAGCGAAGCGACTTCCCACGTGACCCCGCACAGAAAGGATTTGTTCGATTACAAGGGTTGAAGCAAGCGTTGAAGCGACGATTGCAGACGGCAAGAAGTTGATCGTCAAAGGAATCGGTTTCGTGAAACTGACCGGTCTTGACGGAAAAGCTATTCGCACGATTAAAACTCTGTACATTCCAGAATTCGACAAACGTTACTGTCAGTCGGCAAGCTTGTGGAGCGGGGCATGAATGTGGAGTTCTCGCGTTCGTCATGCGTCATCTGGAACAAGGATCAAGCAATTGCGTCGGGTACAAGAATCGGAAAGGATATGCTTGACTGTGAGCAAGAAGAAGCGTGTCTTGTGGAACATTCCGGGGTGACAGTCAGTGGAAGCTTTGGCATGCTCGCATGGGACACCCAAGCAAGGATGGGTTGGTCAAGACGCAGCGCTCGACGAAAGGCATCCCACTAATAAAGCCAGACACGGAAACGTTATGTGCCGGATGTTTGAAGGGCAAGCAGACAGTCATCACATTATTTTCACATTCGATGTCGAAGACCGCGTGTACTCTAGCGCGCGCACACAGATGTCATGGAACCAATGAGGACTCCATCGAAGGGTGCTGCCAAGTACATTTTAACGTTTGTGGATGACTTTTCAAGATATATGGCGATATTCATGATCAAGATCAGGAGTGAAGTGGCTGGCAAGTTCAAGGAATTCAAGACGTTTTATGAAAAATAACGGGGTACACGTACACGTCTGAAGGGCATGCGATCCGACAACGGAACAGAGTTTGCAAACAAGACAATGGCTGACATATGTCAACAAATAGGCATCATGCACCAGCGTTCCATCCATACAGCCTCTAACAGAACGGAGTGGCAGAGCGTTTACACAAGGCCGTTTCGACAGAATCGTGGGTGGAAGCGGTGAATACGGCGGTTTTCCTAGTTAAACTTTCTCCAATACAGCCCATCCTGATAGCACGCCGTACGAGTTGGCTTTCAACGTGAAGCCCCAAATGGATTACTTGCGCGTGTTTGGCTCGTAAGGTTACGCTCGTGTCGACAATGTAAAAAGTACTAAGCTGGAACCCAAGAGTTTTAAGTGTATGTCTCTCGGCTACGCGGAAAATATAAAGGCTACCGCGTGTTTGACTTGAAAAATGCCAAGGTCAAAGTAGCCCGTTCTGTGCAGTTGAAACAGCTTGAAGTCGATGGCATCTGCGACACTCAAGCTCTAAAGCCAGAAACAATTGATCAAGTAATCAAGGACAATGTTGAAGTCACGATTCAGCATCAAGTGGATAGACAATCAATGATGGACTATCTCATGGAAGCTGTGGAAGAGCAAATTTTAGATGTCGAAATGGCGATATTAAGCGAACGCTAATTGTTGATGTACATCAGATTATGCCTTCTGAGCGCTTTATCGAAAACAGGCTGGAGTTAGCGGAGTACCCTCCACCGTCTCAAGTGAACCGAGAAAACCGTTTGGCGGTTTGACCCGAGGTGGAGAGAACATGAGGAAGACGTGAGCCGCTGCTGAAGGTAAGGAACGGCTCAAATGATGAAGAGCAAGACAAAGCAGTGATGGTTCATCAACTCCAAAGCGTGCTGCATTTGATGAAGATGGACTCATTGCAGAAGCTGTTCTTGCTTACGCCATGAGCACTAACGACACCGACTTACCGCCTTCGTATGTTCAAGTAATGACAAGCGACAATGCAGAAAAGTGGCGTGAAGCAATGGACACTGAGCTTCGCTATCATGAGGAGTACCAAACGTGGACATTGAAACCAAGAGGGAAGATCATTCGCACAATCAGATCACGATGGGTTGATCAGAATGGCGCTATCATGCCGTACAAGGCACGACTAGTCGCGTGGCGTCGACTTAATCCCCGTTTGCCAACATGTGTTCGATCCCGGAGAATTCACAAAGGCACGACTGCTCGCAAAAGGTTTCAAGCAGAAGTATGGCGTCGATTTCTTTAGACTTATTGCTCGGTTGCCAACATGAATTCGATTTGGAGAATTCTTGCAGTATGCGCAGAATGCGACTATTGAATGGAACAGCCGGGTGTGGACATGGCTTTTCTCAGCAGCGTGTTGACGGACAGCGTATTTGTCTGGTCGCTGAAACAGCTGATGAAAGTGTTACAACGTACAAAGAGATTATACGCTCACCGAATTGT